GATCTCTGCTTAATCCCAAAACCGGGCAAGCCGGCTGACAAGCCTTCACAACTCAGGCCGCTGGGCATTCTTCGCCCGGATGCTAAAGGACTGGCGGGCACGGCCAAGGAGCTCCTGGAGCCTTTCACGCTGCCATACATGAAGCCTCTACCCCAGTTTGCATACCTCCCTGGGAGAGGTCTTTCGGATGCACAGAGCAGAGTGGTTCAGCATTTAAGGGAAGCAAGGCAGCTCTGTCGCAATGCGAATCTCACCCGAGCGGATCAGCAGCGGGGACAATGTCCTGTAGGTCTCGTCGGCGGCATCACTTTCGCACTAGACCTGTCACAGGCATTCGACACTGTGTCCCGAAGTGAGATCTTGTCCCTGCTAGATGAGCTGGGCGCGGATCCCCCGCTTAAGAAACTCATACACGGCCTTCATCATCGATCTAAATACAGACTTCATTCTCAGGGGGCCTACAAGGACGTGGAAACTACCACTGGCATCAAACAAGGCTGCAAGTTGGCCCCCACGCTGTTTTCCGTGCTCACAGGCCGCCTCCTTCATAGACTGATAGACGCATTTGGCTGGGACAATGTCCGCAGATACTTTACAGGTTACGCGGACGACTTCACCATGCATCGCACCATCCGCAGCCAAGCAGACGTGGACGCTGCTCACAAGATGATCCTACAGCTTCTGTCGGAGGTGACGAAACTGGGATTACGCGTCAACCCGGCCAAATGTGCCATGCTAGTCAAGCTTAACGGCAGAGAGGCGGAAGCCGTGCTTCAGAAGCACACCTGCTGGCTGCCCGACTCGACGGGCACACTACAGCGGCATTGGCGACTGGGCAAGCACAGATCCTTCCCTGCATACAAACTTGAGGCGCAAATCAAGTACCTGGGCATCCAAATTTCCTATGGGAACTTTGAAATGCAGACGCTGCGATTCCGCATAGCGGAGGCTGCCAAAAAGCTCCAGCAGGTCAAGCGATTCGTCTACAATCGCCGCACCGCGGGGCCAATGGCCAGGCTAAAGGTCTGGTTCACCACCGTTTGGGCCACCTTGGTCACGGGACTCCCCGAAGTCGGCCTCACGGAGGAGACGGCCAGGCATCTTAGAGGCTGGTATGCACACAAGATACGCTCGGTCCTCAATCAGCCTGCACACGTCGGCCACACACCTACAGCTGACCTGTACCGACTATATTCAATCCAAGACCCGGTAGCCAAAATCCAAACAAGGATGGCTTCTAGACTCAAGCGGTTGTGCAAGAGAACAGCCCCCTCCGAAGCCACCACTACAGCCCTGCCTGCACACACTCCCAGTGAACCCTCAGCGACGCGGGGCCCATGGGCCAGGCTGAGTCCACCAGCGACGGGCCTAGCAACACACCAGCAGCCGTCTGAACCACATACATACGGTGACGTCACGCAACTGAGCCACGTCGTACAGGACCTACAGGACATGCTGAGAGAGGTGGAAAACCTCCCGGCGAGCACCGAGGCCTCACAGCAGCGGCTACACGCCTGCCCTCACTGCGAGTCGGGTTTTGTCTCTGCACATGGCTTACACATGCACGTCACGCGAATGCATCGCGAGCACGTGCAAAGGTACATTCCCCCCTCCTTTGATCGCAGTCGGCACTCCAAGGATGGTCTACCTGTATGTTCTGCATGCGACAAGGCTTTCCATCAATGGAAAGGCCTACGTGACCATCTCTTATCGGGGGCCTGCACGCAGCCGGAACGACTGCGTCAGATCTCTCTCACCACTGAGGAACAGATGCAGGGTCAGGCCCTCCAGGGCCTGGCGGCCTTTCGCGCCAAGGTGCAGAGTTCGCCCAGCAACAAACTCAGTGCCATTGCCACCCGGCCAGAGGCTCAGGAGCTTAAGCATCGGTGCATTTTGTGCGGTTTTTGGACCCCGGACCATACCAAGATGAAGAATCATCAACGACAGGCCCATGCACAAGCATGGCAGCGAGATGGTCCGGCAGCACTTCAGCTTTGCAAGGCCTATTCTGTGCAGATGATAAAGGGGCACCCCTGCCCCTTTTGCAGGCTGCCGGTCTATGACAAACGCAAACACCCTGAGCAATGCATTGTCCTGTTTCAGGTTCTGCTTGGGTGGCACAAGGTGCAAGGCACGGACAAGATGCGGGAACAATGTTCCAAGCCTCATCCCAAGACCGCGGTGACAATGTCACTTAGTGGCTTTTTTGGGGCTGCAGACAAGCCAGCTACCGCGGCTGCATCACCCACTGTTGCCATGGCAACGACGGGCGCCGTCGGCAGCACTCTCCCGCCAGGCCTGTATTCTCGTATGCGACACATGGTGAACTCGGGTAACACCTGCTATGTCAATGCGACCATTCAGGCCCTACTAGCCGCGCTAGACTCTGCGTCCAATGTAGCGGAACTGGGACCACTGGTCCAACACTGCATCAACCCGGAAGCGGATCCAATGGATACGAGGCACATAAACCCTCCAAGCCTATTCGCTCTCCGGTCCTTAGTGCCTAGATGGCGATTCGATGGCCGTCAACAAGACGCCTCCGAATTTGTCACATACATGCTAGAGCACAACACGGGGACTCTGCAACCCGCTCGCTGGGAAGGACGCACTAATGGAGTGCCGGAAAGTGAGGATGACGGCCTCACGCCGTTGCTGCTGCCCCTTTCCTCAGCCTGTCGTACACTGCAGCAGGCCTGCACGGCATGGTATGACCACACGTTCCAGCGCGCCCTGGCATGGGCCCCTGACATCCTGCCAGTCACAATCGCTCGATGGATGGACGGCACAAAACGACGCACCCCGCTGGACCTGCGCAGGCACCTCTCAATGCCGTCTTGGATTGAGGGTCAGGGCCGGCAATGGCATCAATATGCAGTCATTTCGGGAGTTTTTCACATAGGTGCTGACATACACTCCGGCCACTACCGGTCCTTCTGGATTCACCCAAATGGAGGCGCGCTGTATGTGGGGGATGATGCCACCCGCCCATACCCAGCCTCGGCCTCAGATCGCAAACATGTTATGGAAGACTGCTACCTCCTTTTCTTGAGAAGACAGGAGTGACTCTGACTCACCCTCAAGGGGTGAGTGCTGGCCCTCCAAACCTAGGAATGCGTGCACCAACAGGGTGCCTGTGCGTGGGAAGGCCGGACCCCACAATAGGTGGGCATGGCCCCCCCCACGTCAAGGCCAAGCATGCTTTAGGCATGCGCAGGCTTACCCGCAGCTTTTCAGGCTGACCCAGCATGGCTGACACGATCCACAGCCCGGACCACAAAAGTGGTCGAACCGCCTCTCCCCTGGCTCCAGATTCACTAATGGGAGAGCCATCTGAGCCGCTTGGGGTCGACACTCGACGCCAGACATCCGGAGGCGGCAAGCAGCGGCAAGGCAGCGCCCTGCATGCCCTCTCCAACGCTGCAACCAATGGTGCCACTGGCAGACTAAGCAGTAAGTCGCGGAGGCCATGCCTGTTCTCACTTGCGTCTCTTCCGAGACAGACTGATGGCCCTTCTGCCGGATGCCGCCGCTGTCAGTCGGAAATCATGCCCTAGCCTGCTGCCGGTCGCGCTACTGCTGCTCTGCTGACAGCATACACAACGCGAATTCCGTTTCAATGTTCAGGTACATACAACAATCTGGAGCTTGATACCCTGCAGCCTGCAAACTCGCTTTGGCTGATCACTGCCAGTTAGCTCAAAGCCTGTAGGCCGCAACCACTCAAAGGTCTTTTGACCTGGGCGGATCAGCTATAGGGTCTGAGTCAGTTTCACACCAAAGTGAGTGCACCGCGGCAATCGCCCGCTATGTGCAGAGCCCGCTCGCACAGCGTTCAATTGAAATAGTAGTAGTAGGAGGAGGAGGCACCTCCCCCCCCTACCAACTACACTTGCTCTCAACCATGTTAAGACAACATCCATTTTACTTCGCATTTACGGCACTTTCGTCATGTGCGAACATCCTAAGAGGCCTAAAAATCGACTTGTCGAGTTTGCAAACTCGGGCTCTTGATTTTGGACTTGCTTGTGGGGGTGGGTGGGGGGATGGGGGGGGGATGATGACGACAGTGTTACGCGAACACACCCAGCAGTATCACCACAAGAGCCGTTTCACTCGGTATTTACGGTACTTTCGTGATGTCAGACTTTGTTACATATTCTGAGCCCCTACTTCTCGACTATGCGCATGTAACTTTGCTGTTTTGAACTGTTTGCAAAAAAGCTCGAAATTGGGTGGGGGAAAGCTTCTTCGGGGATGATCACGACACTGTTTTGCGGACACCCTGAACAATATTTCCACACTCAAGCGCAAACACACCACACACACCACTTCAAAAACAGACCCTCCTACGCAGAGGTTGGGCGGTAGGGGTGTTGGCGAGCCCTTCCCACGTACAGCTGGCATCTTTGTTTTTGATGTTTAGAAGATGTTGTGCTTCAGGTTTTAGAAATGTTAAACCCTTCTTGGCAGCACTTGGGTTTTGCACGATAATCACAGCGTTTTCGTACTATCCGACCACCTGGGGTTTATCAGTTTCTTCCCCGTCGAGCTTGCAACTCCAGCTGCTGTCGCAGTTTTGGGGCCTGAGCCCCTGCAACTTCACCGGCTGTGACAGTTAAGGAAACTGAGCCTCTGCAACTTCGGCAGCTGTCACAGATAAGGAGCCTGAGCCCGTGCATCTTCTGCAACTATCGCAGTTAAGGCGCCTAGCAGCTGCCGCTGCCCAGCCCGGATGGAACAAGTGTAGTTGGGAGGGGGGGGTGGCTAGTAGTAGTGGTAGTAGTAGTAGTAGTATGATGATGATGTTGATGGTTGTTGTTTGTAGTTTTGACTTTGACTTGTTTTGATGATGGTAGTGATGCTGCTGCTGTTGCCACCGTTTTTGGACATCTGGCTTTGGCGGGGCGTGAGATTGCAACGAACTTGGGTTGGTTCAGTTTCAGGACGTTCGTTCTGCTTGAGGGATTGCCCATGCCTGCAAGCCCGAAGATGTGCAGGAGTTTTGTCCTTCACCATTGGCGTCATCATAGATGTGGTGGTCGGTCTTCTACCCACACTGGCCGTCCTGGTGCCCGGCGATTCCCATTACGGGGCGAAGCTCTTTAACAGCACACTTCCACCTTCTAAAGCTCCTTACCAGGTTCAACTTGATCTGCAGGGAGAAACCTTTTAGTTCAAACGAACCAGATGCCCCGGGGAAGATCATTCGACTTCAGACATCTTCATGACGGCCCTTGCTTTTGGAAATGAATATCTTTTCGCTTGAAGTCCTATAGCGACTGCTTGGGTCGCAAGAAGCCTCACTAGTTTCAGGGTTTCAGGTGTTGAATTGCAGCACAAAATACCCAGAGACTCCAATATAAATTAAGGAATATATCTTAAATCATATAAGGGATCCTACTTTTTTTTCGGGATATTGGAGTCTCTGGGGACGTGCGCTCCGCATAGCAGGTCGCTGGTTTTTTCCTGAACCTTGAAGCCAGATGAGACGAAGCAGGCAGTACATGTCACCCACCTTTACAGCCTAGTGCCCCAGAAAACCTAAGACGTCCAAAAAACCCTAAACGCTAAACCCTGACAGTTCAAGAACCCTAGCACCACAAAACTTCTAGAAGCCTTGCAGTCCCAAGCACGCGGAAAACTCAGAGACTCCAATGACCCTTAGTAAGGAAATAATAGTTTAAGGAGTATTCTTTTATCAAAGGGATATTGGAGCCTCTGGGAACCTCAAAGCCCTCAGGTAGTTTGGAGGCCTCAATGTCCTCAGGCCTTCTTCTTACAACGTACACTGTCATATCTTGTAATATTCTTCGAGATTTTTTAATCAGTATGTAGATACATATATATATATATATATATATATATATATTTATATGTATATATATATATATGTATATATATATATATATATACCTCCGAAATTCTCAAGGCACCATCTTTCTGCTTTCAGGTGCCTTTGGGCCTTGCCTTGGGGAACTACGCCCTGAGCCTGGGGTTCGTTTGAGTTCGAGTCCTTTAAAGCATCCTAGAAAGGAACCCTTCAGGGAGCCCTTGAAGGGGCCCTTCAAAAAGGCACCTCAAGGGTCACATCAGCATCATATAAGCTAGAGCCTTTAATCACGCATGTGTTTGAGGTTATGACTGCCTTTATTGCAACTGCCAACCTTGTACCTCTATTCAAAACCGTCTTCCTAATCCCTCTGACTCTTCAAGCATTGTTCAGGTCTGAACAGCCAGTGATAGTTTCATCGTAGAATCCTTATGCAGTTATCCTACAGCAAAGCCCACAACCTTTGTCGCACACTCCCAAACCCTTTCTAATGACATGTTTGAACCCCTGTACTGTGCTTTCATTGAGCAGCAGCCCTGCAGGAGTTTTAGCATTTGCTTTGTTTGCTCAGCTACCGTGTGAGAGCTAGGCCGGCTATGAAACCCCCTCGGGTGCATGTGCAGTGGTGGTGAAGAGAGTCAGTTCGTTGAATGTCTAATATATGGGAGTTTCCGGAATCAGGGGGCCCACATAAGGTAGCCCTAATTTCGAAAACTCCCATACACAAAAGTTGTTAACCCCGTAAAGCTTTCCGCTCTAAAGCTAGGAGGTGCGCATCCTTGGGACTTCGCAAAAAGCCCTGACACCCTAAACCTAAACAGAACTTTGGCGCAGGACAGCCTAAGCACGCCCTACTTGGAGGTTCAGGGTAGTTATAAGTAGGGTAACTATACTTATACCCATATTAGCGGACTTACAACCCCACTGATAACTACCCATGAACCCTAAACCCTATACCCTTATAGAATCCCTATAGATCCCTTGAAAGGGACCTACGTATAACTACCCCTGAACTTCCAAGTAAGTACCTAAGACCTGAGCTGAACAGCGAAGGAGTAAATTGCCAGCATCGGTGACAGCCCTGGCGGCACCAATTCTGGGCCGGGCCGCTTGTCCGAATGTAGGGCGGCCCATAATGCGGTTTAGGGTTTAGGGTAATGATCCGAATCGGGTTTCGGGTTTTCTTTGATATATATTGGGCCTAGAAGGTTCCTAGTCGGGCTCGCATAAGGGTCAGGTACAAGACTGCGAGGGTTAGATACTGCAATGGGGGGCTTGGTCTTAGAGGTTTCGGGCTTGCAAGGGTTTTACAAAGGTCATGTTTACGATGGCTTTACCAAGGTGCTTAAACACAAGGCTTCTATGGAACACTTCTTGGGCTTATGAATTGCTCAGAAGGGCTTTATTCTGCATCTTTGCCTTCGTAGAGTTTCTATGAGGTCGCCGGGTCTTGTGTAGTAGAGCTGAGAGGGTTTGGGGTTCAAGTTCAAGGTTTAGGATTTATGCACTATAAACCCTAGACCGTTTCGGATTACTGCATCATGCGAATTTTGAACTTGAAGTCTCGAGGTTATTCGGGGCTTCAGCTACCAGAACGTTTCAGGTCACAGCTGCAGCGGCTTCACTGACAGGATATGGGAGTTTCCGAAAACAGGGGACCCAAATCTATTACCCTAAATAGTAGGATACTGATTATCGGGACCCCAGAATAAGGTACCCCTAAGTTTCGCAAACGGCCATATGCAAGCACCACTGTAGGCGGACTACATGGGGCATGCTTTCGTAGGGCACGCCCGGAGTCCGAAGGATTCAGTCCTGCTTTGACTTTTCCCTGAAGGCTACAGCCACAACAGCAAAACGGATCCTCAAGCCCGCGACAAGAGAAACCCGAAATCGTCATGTTACCCTCCTTGTTCACCGACCGAGGCCGGGTTCTTTCTTGGCGTTTACGGCCTCTTGCGCGTAATTCGGTTCTTGCTTTCCCAGAAGTCAGAGGACGACGGTGAGAGTGCTGATTAGAAGCTTCAGGGGTTCGTGCTTGGCATGCACGACTTCAGGTTGTTCGTGTAGAAGGGCTTGGCTGAGCAAAGCACAGGCTACAGCAGGTCTGGCACTAAGCCTGAGGATCCAAAGAGATCACTCCTCTAATTATTATCGTACAGATTTTGCACAAGGCAGTGCCTAGCGCTGTGAACGAGATCGTGGCTTCAAAGAAGAACCAGCTTTCTGTTGTTCTAGAGGAAGCAGTCGTAGAACCAGAACGCCGAAGCGGTTCCACTCTCCCATGATTTTCAGACACCGACGAGAATCCCGAGCAATCAATGGAGTTAAGAGGCATCAATATCGTTGCAATTCTCTGCATGTTTCAAGCATGCAGCATGGGTGCGACATTCAGCCAATGATCATGACTTCGAAACATGTGTATGGGTGGATACTTGCCACAAGTTTAAGGGGCTGGATCATCATCATTATCATCATCCTTGACACCAACTTACCTGTCGAACCTCCGTCAACAGTAAGGCATCTCGAGACTTACAGATCTATTTATTTAAACGACGTATTGGGTCGCGTATCCTTTCAGTTGCTCTTTCAGACATACTGAGCATTTTGAAGGCTGATTCTTGCGATATGAGTTAAAATATCTCGTATTCAATTATCTGTCATATCTTCATACTGGCAAGACGATCATTACTTATAGACGAAATTTGAAAGAAATATTAAAATATAGTTCTTTTCACGTTAACTGCCTTTTTATTGAAATGAATGTCTATTTGAAGAACATGTTTGTTATCTCGTAATTGAGTTCATATAACTATAGTTGAGCGTCTCAATTTGTATCTATAACTTTATATTTGATATAGATTAATCGGTAGATGATAAATATATTCTTTTAAGATATAACTTGCAATTTATACCATGAACCTGGTATAGAGTATTCTTGTAACAATAATGAGAATTGGAGTTATATGTTTGAAATCTCTGAAATCTTTTTTCGCGTTTAAATATAAATATATATATATATATATATATATATATTCATATATATACATATATAATACATATATATATATACATATATACATATATATATATATATATATTATAATATATATATTTAATATATAATTTATTTTAAAAACATATATGTATATTGATGATATATATTATAATATAGAATCTTTTGGGGTGATGTAATCAGTTGTCTTTGTTTTTTTTGTCAAAAAGCGTATGGTTTTTGGGTGGTGGCGCAAGGGGGGGGGGATTTTTGTTGTATATATGCTTTATTAAGACATTTTATAGAATGCATCTGCATTTTGAATATATTAGATGTAAATATGCGAAATAGAAGTCTTTTATTTTTTCATTAGTTTTGGAAGAAACGTATCTATGTATGTCTTCTATTTTATTTGTATTGGTGTGCGGGGTTGTGTGCGTTTGTCGTGCGTATTAGTGTTGTTGTGCTGCAAAATAATTGGGGAATTTAGTGAATTTAGTCCAATGGATGTTTTGTGTGATATGTATTGTGTGTGTAGGGTAAATATTTGGTGCCGCGGTGTGTTGGTGGTTGGGGGGTTGGTGGCGGGCGTTCATTTGTTTTTTATCTTTTTTTTATTGTCTCGCGCGTTTCTATCTATATTTATCGAGTATTATATAAATTTATGCATCTATATTTTCTTGTTATAAAAATGCGATTTTTGATGATTTTTTAATGAGGAAAAAAAAAAAATTTTGAGAAAGCAGTAGGGGAGATCGGAATTGATTTATCTATTTAAATGAAATAGATTATGACCAAATTCGGGGCGGTTTTATTTAATTTTTATTATTTTTTTTTTTTTTTTCGTTTTCTTTGGGTTTTTTTTTTTTTTTTTTTTTTATTTTTTGTTTTTTTTCTTTTTTATTTATTATTTTTTTGTGCTTTTTTTTTTTTTTATATATTTTTTTTTTATTGTTGTTTTGTTTTTTGGTTTATTGGATTTCTAGATTTTTTTTTGTTCGTATTTTTATCTTTTATTATTTTATTTTTTTTTGATTTTTATTTTGTTTGTTATATATTTTATCTTATTTTTATTTTTATTGGAGAGAAAATTAAAATAGAATTTATAATTAAATATGAAACAAAATAATAGATATTAATAAAAATAATATATAAAATATAATAGATTTTTATATATGAAGAATTATAAATCTCATGAATTATGTGATTCCCCCCGCTAATTTATTCTCATCTTTCAGAAAGTTTTTTTAGGAGTTTGCGAATGATAATATGTAAGATTATTTGTCTTTCTAAGGTGATGGTTTTTTTTTTTTTTTTAAGAATTTTACTAGATTTGAAAATAATATGGAGGAGATTTCGTCTAGGTTGGGGGGAATTTATCTACTTTTCTCTTTATGAAGCTTGTATTATTCTCGAAGGATTTAGTGTCTGAGAATTTATGAAAACTTTTTAATTTTTTTTTTTTTTTGTTTTTTTTTTTTTTATTTTTTTTTTTTTTTTTATGTTAATGTCTTTTTGTTTATTGTTTTTTAAAGTTTTCTTAAAAAATTTTCATCTTCTGAAAATATTATAAAAATAATTTGTTGGCTTTGCAAGGAATTACCATTTTTTCTTACAGAGACAGAGAGAGAGAGAGAAATTAAAGAAACCGATATCTCAGCAATTGAAAGCTCAGATTCTTCTTAAAGAATTCATAAAATCAAATGCAGGACCTATAATTAAGATCATTATCATATCATATCCAAGATTGACGAATTATATTATTGATATATCACGCTCAGGATCAATCTTCCCTTCATATGAATATTATATATGAATATATTTTGATTCTAATCTAAGATTTTTTGGACGACGAGTCTTCGCGAGAGTTTGAGCATTAGGGGGGGGGAATCAGAGCTGCTTTACCTATAATCTAACGAAATTATGATAAATCAATAGAAGCATTTGGAGACATTCAAATATATAATTATCATATAAAGAATATAGTCGATTTCATATCTGAAAATATATATCTTATTAGGCTATTGTGCTTCGAATAGGTCCTGGGGTGGCGGAAGTCTGTTATGAATTCATCAAATCATCTCCGTGGGTGATTTGTGCGCGTCTGTGGGTGGGTGCGTGTGCGTAGAGGTACGGGAAAGGCGCGGAGGATGGCGGGCGATGTTTCGCGTGGCGCGTATTGCGAATTATGGGTCGCGTGGGTCGCGTGTGTGAGACGTGAATCACGTCGTGAGTCGTAAATCATTTGTCGTGAATTATATATCGCGTGCGTCGTATTTTCAAATCTTTAAGCATAGAAGCTTATAGAGATAATGGCGTTTGCATGGATGCATTCAAAATGAGATCGATATTGATATCTTTCTGATGCCTCTGGCGCGGCATAGAAGAAGTAGATTCCGTGGGAGCATTCAGGCTCTGGAATCCCGAAGGAGAGGAGAGAAGAAATAGATATCTTAGAGTATTATATCCGCTTCTGATGCGTGTCGCGTGCGCAGGGAAGGATAGGTATGATATATATCTGATTATTTATAGGCGCGCGATTATGAATATATCTAGATGTCTATCATTCATATATATATGAGATAAAAGATATATTATCTATTAGTCTCTTATAGGGAGAATATAGAGATCTCTCTAATATCTTCATTTTATCATTATACTTTATAATATATTATTCTTTTACAGATGATTTAATAAAGAAAGAATATTTTTTCTCTTGATAAATTTCTTTTTTGATCTGATATATTCGATTCAGAATATTCATTCTATAAATTCTAGATATGATATATCTTAATAGTTTTAATATCATTACGAATTTCCTAATTCATTAATATACTAGAATTTCTTTTCATTATGACGTCGTAGAGACTTCTATCTGAGGAAATATTAATTGAAGGAAATCTAAGTCTTATTGATTTCGTTTAATATATATTCATGAAATTTCTGAATTGAATCCGAATTTATTTTTCTCTGACTTTATTGAATTCTTTTATCTATTTTCGGATGAGATATGAATAAATATAATTCGGAATACGAATCTAATTAGAATTACTTTTCATT